TTATTATATATTTATTGATCTACTCAGCAGCAAATCCTTGACTTTGCTGATATAAACCAATATATATATATACTCTCACCTGTTTTATTATTTTTTTAAAATAACTTATGCAATACAATAGTAAAATTATATATAGTTATACTCATTGTTCGTTACTGTTCAATGTTCTCTAGTCATAATGAGTTTTTGACAAATAAATGAAATTGACTGACATTCATAGGTTTTTTTTCTTTTTTTTTTTTGCTTTAGTTATATTATCTTTTAAGTGAAGGACATGTATGTGTAGTTAGCAATTTTGTTGATTGATATAGTATCATTAATAACCTATACTAATCGTTGACTTTGACTATGATGAGACAGGATACACTTGTTGTTATTGTTTTTTTTTTTTTTTCTTGAGATAAAAAAGAAGAGTGACAATTGATAACGTGAATTTGATGAAAATGTCACCATTTACATGTTACTAAAGTCTTCAATATATCTTGAAAATTATGTCATATTCGCATCAAATTTAAGTATTATGTTTCTTTTTATTCTAAGCAATTTGTTAAAAATCTGCAATTTCTCATCTCACTTAATGATTGTCAAGAAATATTGGCAGTCATTTTTTCAAATTATACACCAGTTCACTAATCGTTCATTTTGAAAATAAGAGTTAATGGACATGATGTCAGTATGACATTATGATGAGAGAGTAAAGGGGTCAATCATTCGAAATATAGCAGTTTAACAACAACTGATACAATTCAAATGATGTTAATGACTGGTAACCTTTGGAAAACGATATGTCATTCAAATCTACAATAACATTGTAGCATTTGATTTTTGAACATTTTTTTTTCATCTTATTTTTAAGAGAAAAATATTGCAAGACTTTTTTCTTATTGAAGATGCAACATTTGTTCATCTTATAATAATCAGATTAAAGAGAAAAGACGATCTGTTGTGTTTACACAACACCGTATAGATAAAAAGAGATGAGATTGAATATTGAGATGAAAGATAAAATAAGGGAAGATGATACATACATTTTGACTAGACTTTTTGTTGATCTCCTAAGTGGCATAAAACTAATAATAAGCTATTGTCCACCACTACCACCACCACCACTACTATCACTTCTACTACATAAAAACAACAAGAAGAAGATGGATTACTTGTTGGCTGTTTTCAACATACAAAAAATATACCCAAGAGAGAAAACATGTCTGATTGAACGAACAATTAGATATTTATTAGTAATACTAGGCATACTGTACAAAGTTGTATAATCGGTATCTATTTAAGTATTTGACTTTTACTTGATGGAAGAACTGTAAGAAGTAGCATATTCGTTTTATGAATTGAACAAAAGATTATTATACCAATTGATACCCAATTGATACTGCAAACAAGTATTTTGTTACTGTTTTATGGCATACTACAGAAAAATTTTCACCATTTAAAATTATTTATCTGTAAAAGAAAAAGAGTTTAAAGTAGTCAAATTTTTGTTGTTGCCTTTTTTTTCTTCTCATGATGATTCAATTTTTAACGAACATAGCGGAAAAACAGTAAAGATGTTTCTAATTAATTTCATTCGATTAATTTACTTAACAAAAATCATCGTTATTATTTTAATAACTGTGTATGCGACAATAATTTCTCTTTATTGCATTATATGTAGACTAGTTTGTATGTGTCCCACCTGATGATAAAATGGTATCTATCCTGCTGTGTGTTAGTTTAGAGACTAATTGCTTCAATAACTTTAGATGCATGGACGTTAGATTAGAGTGTCATAGATTAGTTTTCTCTTTCTCTTCGGGTACTGTTTAAACTATCCACCTTTGAAACAAGAGAACGATTCATGATAATCAACTTTTATGATCAATCTTACTCTCTCTTTCTCTCTTTGACCTAAATTCAATATCTAATACATTATTTGTTTATTGACCACCACTAGTTTTATCTGATTCTCTCTCCTTTTTGTCGATATATGTATATAGATTCATTCCATCACTTAAATGTAACGTGGTACGTTTACTATTATTTTACTATTCTATATGTATTCAAACTAATTGTATATAGACAATAATTTTTCTTTTCTTTTTGTTTGTTGGTTAAAGAGTTGTACTTATAATGACTATTAATTGTACTCACACAATACAGAACAACAAACAGGTACTTATAAACTACTAAATAACGTTTATTTAACTCTTTTAAAAATGAAAACGAGAGATCATCTTCATATTGAGATATATTCACCATATCTCATCGAATGAAATACGACTTAGATTTTAAACATCGAATAACTAGCTATCAAAAAATAACAACAACAATAAAATTTCATTAATAAGATGATCAAACTAGAAGTGGCTAAGAGAATAGATAAACCGAATGCCATTTTTTTTTTCTTGATGATCATAGTTATGAATTTTTTCCATCAATTCATTCTATATAGGTTTCTCTCTCTCTCTCTCTTTCTCGTGTGTGTGTGTGTGTGTATGTTTTCGGTATAGCTCGAATAAATCGACGATTAAATGTTATGAGTAAAGATATTTCGTTCTCTTTTGTTTCAACAATTAGAAACACAATGTTGAGCACTTTGAGTTTTTATTTTGCACGTAAGACTAATAATAATAATAATAATAATAATTCTCACTTACGTCAGTAGTATGTAGCTCATCTCTACTATGAGAGTATTTGAACAACGTATTATGAAGAAGAGAAGAAAAAAAAACGAAAAAAACCACACACACAAAAGAAAATTCTTTCTTATTATCGGATGTTGTACATCTCTATATATATATATAGAGAGAGAGAGAGATCTTATACATCCTTTCCTTTTCTTTCGAACCCTCTTGTTACCACAAAAAGATATTTTTTATGGTAATTTATAACATATAGTACAAAGTAAACTAGCAGTTGATACACCGAGGTCAATTTATAACTACATCCTAAATTATTGTCATAAATAAGTCGCAGATTTTCTGTAAAATAAAGACTATAATAATGTTTGCTTGTTTATACTTGACATGTTTAACAATCATTGATTATGAAATATTAGAATGGTAAGCAAAACACAATAGTTAACAAAACAAAACAAAAAAAAGTTACATTTTGCGATATTCTTCTTCATGTCTGCCTTTTTCATTTAATACTGAAAAGTATACGTTTCTCTGAAAGTGTTAGATAGATTTTATACACAGATGCGATTGAACATTCAGACGGATAACAACAACATCAACAATATAGGCTTGACAATGAAAGATCTGTTTTTCGTTTTTTTTTTCTCATTTAGTTGAAAGAAGTTTTAATTTAATTTCCTTCCGTTTTTGAGATGTTCAAGGTTTAAGAAAAAGAAAAAAAAAAAGACAAAACGAGAACATTACTAGACTTGAAACACATAAGAAATCATGTTATCTCTCGTTGAATAACGATACGTAACAAGAATAATATCATTGATTATCTTACTTGATTGTCTTTGCTATATGTATCCCGATGGCAGTACATTGCATAATTTATTCTTCTTTGTCCTTGAACGACAAGTGATTTATGTTTTTGTGTAAGAATAAAGAGGATGAAGTTCATCGAGGGCCAATGTTTTCGCTTCAAATAACATTATTCAGCTAAAGCTATGATACGTTCAATCAAAACAGAATGAGGAAGAAAAGTGAAATGAAGCGCATTGTGCATGCGGTTAGAATGATTGAATTTGTTCGTTATGCAATATACACATGTATTGCGCGATATAATAAAATTAAGCATCCTAATTGTTTGTGAATTTACATCGAATAAATAATAAAAGATCTTATCAAATGTGTCAATTAAAATAAGTTTGTCCTTCTACAATGCTGATAATAGTAGAGATTCTCACACTTGGTATTCATTGTTCGTGGTCTCTTTTATATATCTCTAGTAAAATCATATCGACTGAGCCTTGAATTAAGCCGACATTGAAATTACATATCTATTTTCTGATAGTGCTTTGGGCAGTTGCTAAAGAGATAAAAACAACAAAAAAAAAAAAAAAAACGTATCTAATAAAATAGATACCAAAAAAAATAAAAAATGGTACCTTTTTTCAGTCAAATTGTATTTTATGACACAAGTGACATTCAAATATTACAAACGAAACGTCTTGAAGTCCAAAAAGCTGATTATATTAATTCTTTACATAATCTTTATCAGACTAGAAAAAAAAAGGTATGTTTATTTAAATTATTAACAAAATTGAATTTATTCATTCAAAATTTCAAGTGTTTTAGTTATCGAACAGACAGATAAGCAAACTATACACAAATTATCATCATCGTGCGTGCCATAATTTGTTTTAGTCTCATAATCATCATATCGTTATTCGTCAAGTGATTTTGATTGATCTTTTCTTCTCTTTTTTTCTCTATTATATAGAAAATTAATTTTTTTTCTAGTTCATTTTGACTTTCTCTTCTCGACTTATAAGTTAATCATAGCATGACATTGTCATTTTAAATTATCTTCGACATTGTTTATGCTTGATTTATACAGTTTTTCTAGTGTTCATCGTTGTCTATCGTCTATCTAAACCTACTTATGGTTCATTGATTGAACAACGAAAAAAAAAAAAAAAATTAATTTTTCTTTGTTATTTTTTTCGTTTTAGAATAACAAAAATGATAACGCTTCAAAGCATTTGGTTTTATCTACTGGCAAATGTTTTTTTTCTTCAATGTAAGTTTATTTTATTTTTTCTAATATTTTAGATATGAAATCATATCAATGTTGAAATAAGTGCCCATAGAAATAGTTTAGAGAATTAATCATATTGATAGCCTGTTGTCACAAATTATCACCTCCTTTAGTTTTTACTTCATATCTATCAACAGCCACAATCATTACGTTATAGGAGACCTTTGAACAATGATTTATAATAGAGTTTAATTCAAGGAAAGGAAGAAACTATCTGTCTTCTAACATTTTTCTCATTGAACTTGTTGCTTAACAGTTTTTCTTAATGCCTTTTTATCCTGCACAACATGTCAGCTTGTGTTGTACTAATTTTAGGTTTACCAGCTCAAAGTGGCCAATATTATATCATAAAACCTCATGATTTATCGGCACCACTCGGTTTCAATGTAACAATTCCATGTGTTATTCAACCTCCACATGGTGATGTACAATGGACAAAAGATGGACTCGCATTAGGTATGTGCACAGCATATTACACATATGTTAGATACTAAAAATCAATTAGGTTGATCTAAGTTAAGAAGAATGAGTAGAACCACCTGTTGACTAGAAGAAAAAGAGAGAATTAAATCTTCATTTTGTTTATTTGACTATTATCCTTTAATATATTCATTCGAATAAGTATATCCTATAGTCTAATTGACATAGAGATAATCAACTAAGCATATAATACCAACAATGTTGTTGTTCTCTAAAAGATAAAAATCCATTATGTTCTTCTAAGATAAAGTGTGTCTATTAATGATGCTTGAAAAAAAATAACATTTTTTATATGTTATATACAGTTCAGTTAAGAGGAAAATGTGTAAGGACAATTTTGAGAAATTTTTTTTTTTATATTTTTTATTTTAAGGGTAAATTCTTAAAATAGATCTTAAGTAGAGAGATAGAAAGAGACATTACATATTAAATCAAATTGTCTGATAATAATGATGTGTTTGCTAAATACTCAATAATGTCAATAACGATTTTTATTTTGTTTTTAAGTGAAGTGAAAATAATTGAGTATTACGCTATATATATCATTTTGACAAATTCAAGATCACTCAAGTTATCTAATCAAAAAAAAATTCTTAGAAAACTCGTATCTAAACCCCAAAATATCATAGATAATTTTAGTATTGACTTTCTTTTGTTATATGTCACAATATTATCAGTATGGTTAAATTTTTTATAAAAAAGGATGCAAGTCTCTGAGATCATCACAATTTGAAGAAAATAAGATATGTATCAGTATTTGTGCGTTTCAAAGATGATCATTTACAAGAAAAATGTGTTCAAAGAAAAAAAGGGCAATAGTAATATAAAATTAATTCCTATTAATTCATTTGATACATCAAGAATAACTTTACTGCTCCTATTGTCACATCACTTATTGTGTAATAAATGAAACTAGATAAAACGAAGGTATTGTTCATATGATTAAAAGAAGGAGAAGAAGAAAAAAAAAGCCGGATGTTTCTACATATGTGAAATTGTTGTATAGAAAAATTTTGAAAAGCAACAAAAAAATCATCTTTCTTTGTTACATAATACTATGCCGTTTTTATTAGTTCAGTATCGTATTCTCTGAATGACAAGTGCCGAACAACTGACCAATTAATAACATGATCTTCATGTTTTGATTTATTTTTCTCAATGTAAAAAAGAGGAATAGAATTTGAGAAGTTTACTCTTCAACTGTTTTATGGTTAGAGAAAAGAATGGACATTTTTTATTGAAGGACAGTCTAGAGAATTTATTGTAACAAATTTTAACTTTCAATGTATGATAGATGAATTGCCTCTGATATAAAAATGATTGACATTACGAATCGGTTTAGAATGTTGTTCTCTATATTGTATGAAGACTAATTTCAACTAAAAATAGATTTAAGTGAATTTATACGTAGTCGGAATATAGAAAACATAGTATATATTAGAATCTGAAATATAGAGTAAATGTACAAGCATCTCCTTTTTCTTCTCTTCGAATTTTTAACAATAATTGTTCAATTTCTGCTGTGTTAAGTATTTTCAAGAGTTGTCTCACAAAAGATGTAAGCTATGCCGACAAAAGCGTTAAGAGTATGGTCTATGTCTATATTTTACGATTGTTATTCTTACTACTTGAATCTCTAATCTATTGTCATATTCTTTTTGTTATTCTATGTAATTGTGTTTTACAGCACAGTTATAGTTTGAGTAAAGTAGAATAGACTTTAATAAGAGAAAGAAAGACTAATAAATGTCTTCTTATTCATAGTTACACGAAATTTATAGTATGTCAATCACGGTAGGTTAGTAATAGACGAAGGAGGAAACAGATGAGTACGTTAATTGTTTCTATTCGTCTAATATAAACAATTATACACGTATGGGGATACTTGAAGGAAAATTATTATTATGGTATTGACTATACTCGCATCACATAGACATCGTAGATATTTGTACATTGAAGGTCAAAAACAAGACAAAATGGCAAAGAATAAAGATCGTTCAATATTTTAGCTATAAATTACATAGAATTTCATTGTTTAATAGAAATTGGTATATGTAAACATGCTTCTGATCTCTATTTAGTTGTTATTAAATGAGTAACAACTGCTAAAATTAGCTTTTCATGGAATGATAGTTCAAAATTTTGCTGATGTAAGATGATCTCATACATTCGTTATATTAGAAACTATCTCTATCTTTCTATAAGAGTTTCTGTTATTTACTACAGAATTAAAGGTCAGTTATGATGTTGATTATATCTTTTAATTAACTAAATTTATCCAAACTATGTTGTTCTTTTTTTGTATAGTCAATAATATCCTTTTTGAAAAGAATAAGCGTACAGACATTGTAATAAATACTAGGCAATTATCTACAAACACAGTAAAACAGTTGCGCTCTATACAATATTGTTGATGATGAAATTTGATTACGTTTGTGGATTTTCTCTTTCAATATCTATTAAAAAAGAAATGTCCTCGTCAGTCAATCGTCGACCGTAGGAGATTAGATGACTCGCTTTGAACTATAAAAATAGAACAGCTGTTTTCTAATGAACGCACGTGAACAATGACATAATAAATATATAACTGTGATATGAAAAAAAATTAGCTAAAATATGTTTAATAGTGAACAGTCAATATTTAGACTACGTAATGGTTGATCTCATCTACTCAACTCAATGTTCCATTTGACCAAAACTCCATGCTATTATCTACTAGTCTCTTCGATTACTTATAATCTCTATTAAGTAAATGGAGGAAATTTTCATATGCTGATAATACTACTACTACTCCTACTACTACTCCCACTACTATACCATAAACTATACTTTAGGTTATGATCGTTCTTTGGCCGCATTTCCCACTTGGAAAATTGTTGGCTCAGAATCAGAAGGTCAATATAACTTTTTTATTGATGGGCTTAAATTAGAAGATGAAGGTTTATTTGCTTGTGAAGTATCACCATTCATGGATTATCCAGCTCTCAAAGAAGTAGCAAATTTAAGAGTATTAGGTAAACATATGTCTATTTATCATTATTATTATTACATAAGACTATTTATTTGTTGTTTATGTATTTTTTTTATAGTGAAACCTTCTCGTGTTCAAATAAATGATCGTCTAACAGACTCTAATAAAATTCAGACTATAAATATTCGATATGACGAGCCAACATATCAGGTCAATTGTAAAGTAGATGGAGCGAAACCATCTGCACAAATTAAATGGTTAAATGAAAGTGGACACGAATTTTATGGAACTTCAAGAACTTATCAGCAAGGTAAATTTTACACATAAACTTTTATTACAAGAGATAATGATAAGGATTTTAAATTGAGGTTTATCATACACTGACTCTGTCTTGAATAACAGTTTTACAATTGATCTCTTCTACATTTGTATGACCCAAATGGATCACTTTTTTTGAAAATGACTCAATTCTCTTTATAAGAAATTAATTGATCAATTTTTTCTCTATTCATCATAAAAATGAATTGACAGGTTAAATCTAGATTACATGCTTTTCTCGTTTCTCCTGGGATCCCTTTACGTTTTGTTAATAATTGACATATTTTTATTTAATAAAAAATGTTCTTATACATAAAAATAATCTCATTCTGTTCGTTTTTCTAATCATCTCGAATGCTTCTAGGCATTAATTTATTTAAGAGAAAACAGATGCACGTTCTTTTAAAAAAAGAAGACATATTCGTTCATCCAGTTGATGCACTCGTTTGTCTATCCACTTAGACATATTTCACAGAACTGATAATATAAACAGTACAACATAGTTACTAGGAAGTTGTTGTTGTTTTTTTTGAACGCATATCTTACCATATTGTCAATTAGAATAAGAACAATTCTAGAATAAATACATAAAAGTGCGATAATATCGAATAGTTCTAATTCTCATATTCAAAAATGATCAACTTCGACGTTCATTTTCTCAAAAATTTACGTTATTTTTTTAATACTGATTTAATATTACATTTCATTTTATTTTAGGTCGATTATATTCGACAATAAGTACATTACATTTGCAACCGAGTTTAGCATTGCATAAAGAAAAGTTTACATGCGATGTTCGACATGAAACATTAACAAATGGAGAAAAACTGAGAACGTCATTCGAAGTTGACGTTACAGGTAAGCTACATTCTGTTACATAATTAACTATAAAATAAATTGTAAAATTTAATAATGAAGAATAGATTTCTTTGTTTTACAAGCAATAAAATTGGAAAAGAAAAAAATTAAATATGATTTCACTTTCTCCAATGAATTCATTTTTCTTTTCTTTTTTTAGCACCTCCATCTGATCCGGTTATTTCTGGTTATACAACCGGTCAACGTCTATTAGATGGTACTCAATTACAGCTATCTTGCGTAGCACGTGGTGGTCAACCGTTATCTCGTGTTATTTGGTATCGTTTAATTCAAAATAGTAATCCCGAAGGTGGACCAATTGAAGAAAAACTAGTTGATAATTCGTTTAATGTTAATTCAGATTATACTGAGAATAATTATACTTTTATCGTTACTCCTCAAGACAATAATTCAACATTAAAATGTGATGTGATTAATTCATATTTGTATACACTTGGAAAACAAATGAATAAGCAAATTACGTTGCAAGTAAATTGTGAGTATATACGAAGTCAAGAATAAGCAAATTTGAATAAGGTAATAAAAAAAAATTTGATCTATAATTTTAGTTGGTCCGTCTGAAGTGTCAATTCTCGGTAATACACCAAATTCAACCACCACCATTGTAGATAGTACAACTCGTCAATTTCTTTGTCGTTCTACAACGTCTAATCCCCGACCCCTTCTTCTATGGAAATTGGATAATCAAATTTTAACACCTGACGTACCACCGCACGATGAACCGGGTCTCAACGGTGGTACACAAGTACAAATTGTTAAGACAATAGGCATGGATACAAGATTGAAAGAATATCACGGAAGGATGTTGATATGTGAGGGTAAAAATCCAGAAACTGGACATATAGTGCAAGACAGAACATTGCTGAATATACTATGTAAGTAAAAATAGTAGAAAAACTGTTATAAGAAAAATGTTGACTGTATTTTTACCTAGATGATGCAACCGAACTTGAGATACATGGTTTTCAAAATAATCAAATTGTTAAAGCTGGTGATACAGTATCGATTGAATGTTTGCTAAGAGGAGGAAATCCAGTGGGAAAAGTTCAATGGGAGAAAGGTAATTGAAAAAATACTTGTGAGATGAACAGTTTTGAATTAGTCTCAATTGAATGTTATTTTATCTTAAGTTCTTAGACTTGATTCCTTTTTTTTTCATTTACTTTCAGGTGGTGTATATCTTCGGAGTGAATACAAAATGGATGCGAAATATGCATTGGCTAAAATTGAATTTAAAGTTCAACCATCAGCCAATAATGTTATATTAACGTGTAAAGGACAAGTTGAAAATTTTAAAGAAAAATCGGCATCCGTTCAATTGAGAGTATTTTGTACGTACTCTTTTATTCTGTTTATTTATTCTATATTAGATATTATCTGTTCTTCTCTAGTTCTTCCATCAGAACTAACTATTTTGGATAATCAACGGTTAAATTCTCTCACAATTGATGATCGACCTGAATTTATTTGTAAAACGACCCATTCAAATCCTCAAAGTCAATTGAGAGTATATCGTCAAGGCAATGATGGAAGACATTATTTGGATACAACAGACGAAATTTATACTCAAGAAAATGGAGGATTTATTAACAGTGTTAAATTTCAAGTAGGAAATTGAACAAACTTTCATAGATTTTTTGAAAAGTGTGCTCTCTTTTAGTTACCACCAGTAAATGTCATATACCATGGTAATTTTTTAACGTGTGAAGCATCAATTGATGTCAATGGAGAAATTATCACTAAGCATGCCTCCTATGTCATCAATGTTAATCGTAAGCAAACATTCGGTGAAGAGTCTACGTCATAAATTATACTCTCTCTTCTTTCTCTAGATAAACCTCACTTTAATGATTATGATCCATTTGGTGACGTCAAAGAAAATCAACCATTTAATTTAACGCTCGAAGCGACTGGTTATCCAATGCCTGTTACCTACACATGGTATCATCCGAATGGAAGAGCATTAGTCACAGATGCTGCATATACCGTACAACAAGGTCATTTATTAATACATTCAGTTAAGAAAACAGATTTGGGAGTTTATAAGTGTAAAGCCACAAATATAATCGGAACCACAGAAACCAATTTTACACTTAATGTTCTATGTGAGTATTCATCGAAGAGATAAATAGACTAATGACATAATTAAACGTGTTATAGATGCTCCGACAGTCACCAAAACACATGGCTTTTCATCTTTTGATGCAGTGACACCAGGAACTACAGTTACCTTAAAATGTCAAATTGATGCAAATCCAATGAATTTAAGCAATGTTAGGTAATTAATTCACATTATTTTTGAATCACATACTTCCAGAACTCTGATCAAAACTAAAAAATGTATACCGTTTAATTAACTTAATATTGTGTTTCTTTAGATGGTATAAGCAATCCATACCAATCGTTCAAAACGGTATTCGTTTTGAACGCCGTTTTGAGTTGAATGAAGCGAGTTTAATCATTCGTAGTGTAAGAAAAGAAGATGCTGGACAATATGCATGTGAAATTGAAAATCCATTTGGTCAAAATAGAATGGATGTAGCTCTCATTGTCAAATGTAAATATTATTTAGAATAATTTTCAGTTTCTTACATTCTCTAGTCTCTTACAGATCCTCCAGAGATAGTTCGTGATCCAGCGTATGCAAAAGCGGCAAGCGATAGTGATCGTTTTTTAACAGCTGAATTACACTGTCGAATATCAGCGTTACCGAAACCAACTGTACAATGGTTTAAAGTGAGGCGATATCATACTTGCTGTTGTTGATGTAGAACATATTTATATCTTTTTTCTTGCAGGGTTCTGATGAACTTCCATTAATAACCAAATACCGTACAGTGTTAAACGATTTACCATCAACATCGTCGCCTCAGTTGCTCTTCACATACGATAGTGTTCTATTTATTGCCAATGTAACAAAAGAAGATCATGGAATTTATCGATGTAAAGCTGAAAATCAGTTAGGAGCTAGTACAGTCGATGTGCAATTAACAGGATTAAGTAAGATGGAAACTGTGTTGTTATGCTCTACTACTTCCTTATATCTTATTGTAGCTCGTCCCGATACTCCAACTAATTTACAAGTGGGAAATGTTACGTACAACAGCATTTTACTTCAATGGCAACCCGGTTTTGATGGTGGTGCACCTCAACAATTTCAAATACGCTATCGCTTACAAACAAGCGATCGTTACCATTATGAAGATATACCACCGGTAGATTTAATTCTTACATAGAAAGCGTACATCTTTCGATTCTATATTGTTCTTTTTATATAGCGTATCACAGCAATTGAAGTTAAAAATTTAGAAATTGGTACCACATATTTATTCTCTATTCGAGCAAATAATAGTTTTCACCTGAGTCCATGGACCGATGAATTTTCTATAACAACTAGTCGTAAGTAGTAAACTACACTGAAAATTTAACGATTTTCTAGAACATTGTCTTATTGTAGGTGATGTGCCTCAACCTATTTATCCGTTCGTACCTCAAACTCGTTTTTCGTTAACTGTCATTTTGATTGTCTGTGCTCTTGGCATTTTTCTATTAATATTTAATATAATTCTAATTGCCATATTTGTTAAACGACGACGAAAAAAGTCAGATAACGATAGTACAACTGGTACTAATGAAACAGAAGCAAATACCGTGGAGATATTTCAACCACCACCGATATTTACTGACGATAATTCAGGATATCCATTCAATACTTATCAGCGATATGATGTAAGTGAAAAAAAGAAGAAACTGAAGAAAATAATCGATAGATATTCCTGACTTTTATAGGATGAAGATGTGAAACGACCATTTGTTACCCATACAACAACATTGGGACCAAAAACGTTAAGATTAAGTCCACAAAATCAAAATAATGGAGAAAAACGAATTTTGCAATCACAATCACCAGTGTGGAAAAATAATGGTATGTTTAGAAAAAAAATGTTTTTTTGTGTCTTCGGAGTATTTATAAGAAAAAAAATTGTCACTGTTCTAGTTCAAACACTTTTGCTTTTGTCTTTGTGAAGTTGTTGTTTTTTCTAAAGTTTTAAAGCAAACACCAGTATATATATATGAAGAGATTTAAAATTTGATTAACAAATATCATTGTTTGCTTGTGTTTATGTTTTGTGTATATGTGTATTATGTGTCAATGTGCTTCTTGCTTTTATTGTAGATCCGGATGAAGATCTATCCTATGTTGATTCCATACGTCAATTACAACATTCTATCATTGATGACTCGTATGCAGCTATTAAGGTATAAATTACCATTGACTTGAAGAACAATCTATTCAAAACTATAGTAGTTAAACGTTTTAATGTTGTATAAATAGATGCTAGAGAAAAATTGTGTAGTTCATATAGTTCAAGCATTTTATCTCATCTTTGCTTTTATATTTTAGAAAGGTCGTTTTTCCCCGTACGATAATCTGAGAATTAATTCTCCTCATCATTCCAGTGATATAATTACTTATCGAAGTTTTAAAGAAAATCATCAAAATACTAATAATTTACATCATACTGATTATTTAAGAGGGCAACTTGTCTGAGAGAAAGAAAACAGAGAGAGAACAGTCATAACGGAACAAAATTAATAACAGTGATATGCACATCCGACAAGAATCAAATAAATGGGCTCTTTCGCCCATACAGTCATTACAATTATTTGTATTTTCATACATTATATAGTCC